ACTTGAATGTGGATGGGTGATGTTGTTATATGCTGTATGTTGCCCCAAAGGTGCTTTTTAGGAGGCAACTGGACTTCCTTGTTTTTTCTTTTGAAGACATTTTGCTTCTCATCCAAAAAGCTTATTCAGCTCTGACAGGATTGTGGGGAATGGAAGGATTTATATTCCTTAAAGAAAATATTAGGTAACCACCGCGCGGTGGTGGTATTCAACTAAAGTTGCCACCGGTTCAGTGGGCATGGCTTGGTGGCCGCGCTTTGCGGGTGTGCACACTGCGTGCACGCGTGCACCAAACACACACTTTGCGCAGGCGCAGAGGCATTCTAACTTGCCTCCTGTAAGCCTGCACGATGCTGGTTGCTGCAGCAGCTGCCACGCGGTGCTATTCTGTGCCGTGCAAAGCAGCTGCGCTTTGAATTCTGGCCATAAAAGTGAGTATGGGAGCCCGGGCGGGTGGGTGGGCCAAACACAGAGCAGCGAAGGAAACCGGTTCGGTCTCCACTGCTCATCGCCGCTACCGGCTCTCCAGAACCGTGCAGAACCGGTCGAATACCACCACTGCCACTGCACCACCATGGCTCCAAAAAGCCAAGAAGCATAATAAATCAGCTTCTTGAATTGCACCCATAAGGAAACTCATCCCAGATAACAGGACTCGGTCACTTCCAAAAGATCTGCCCAGCCAGAGTCCAACTCTGACAAAGTTGAGCAGATGTTAAGAATATTCCTCACTATTGCTCTGCAGGAGCTTGCCAGGTCCTCCTTACCCAGAAGGGACCTGGTCACTGAAACAAGGCTATTGTATGGCTATCTGCAGATACAATAAGGGTGGAGAAGTAAGAACACTGCCACCCTTATTGCCACAAAGTAATTCAGAATTCAGGTTCAACTGTCTCAGCCAGCTTCACTCTGTGTCTTCTGCCAGCAGCATGTCTAGGAGACACTATGGCATCTATGATTTCCATATGAACAGAAAATCCACAGGCTAATGTCCCTATTGCCTATTTATTCCAAACAGCGACAAGGACATCAGCCAATTATGCACAAGAGCTTCAGAAAAAAACCTCAGGTTCTCTCTGAAATCACACTGGTTCCATCAGGCACCTGGGGCAGGCCAATGTAATAGGTCCCGTCTCCATGTGGTGAGGGGCACCTCCTAAAACACTATAGGGCCAGTTTTCTATCCATGATAGGGGACCTGTGTTAATACTCTCCCAATCCAGATCATGAAACAAGTGCCCCAAGGCAAACACCAATGGCAATATGTGGCCTCCAATGTGAAGCAGATCATGAATAAGTTGAAGCGGGTCTGAGGTTGTCATGGGCACTATGAACTCTGCTCTGATCCCAGACCCAAAAGCAGCAGACTGAAAACCCTCCAGAACCATAAGTTAGCTCAGATACAGAGTCCACGAGTATGGTTAGGGATACAACTACCGTACAGGAAGGTAAGTAATCAGTAATCCTCAGTCTCACAAATAGTACCTCACTTCTACTGACATCTGGGGCAGGGTCTCTGAAGGCCACCGGGTACTCATCAGTAACAACTTCCACTCTGCAGTCACAGCTGATCCCATACTCAAAACCTAGGAAGACCAATTTAAGAGAGGGAATCTCCCCTCCTCCCCCGACTTCATTGCCCTACCAGGTCTCAGTGATACAAGCCAGGTGACTTCCATCCACAATCAGATTGAGACTAAAGCTAGGAATGCTCTGGCAACCAGGATCCGGAGCCAAAATGCAGTACCGGCATTAAACCTTGTGGTCTCCTTTCCTGAGAGCACCCACCTGTCTCCCACCATACCTTCCCAAGCCATGGCAATGCATTGCCATGGCAATTCTCTTCCTTAGCATCTCCTCACTCTTCCTATGTAGCTTCCCGTCCCCTCAGCTTTCCATCCCCAAGGGACTGAGAGCCACCCACGTCCAACTAAACTATCTAGACAACTAGGCTCTGCTTAGTCTCTGGTGCTTCTGTAGCCCACTTTCTATCTCTCCCTGAGCAAGCATATAACTTGTCCTTCACACACCTCTCCAGCACCCATAACGAAATCTTTCACCTACCCCACCCCCACCCACGGTGGGATTCAAAAAAAATGTACTACCATTCTGTGGGCGTGGTTTGGTGGGTGTGGCAGGGGAAGGATACTGCAAAATCCCATTCCCTCCCACACCCCACTAACCTGCTTTCCAGCTCCGTTCTCCTGTGCAGGGCAACAAAAGAAGATCCAGCCCATCAGCTGGGACTCGGGAGGCAGAGAATAGATAGGGGTTGGGCCAGTCGGAAGTGGTATTTGCCAGTTCTCCAAACTACTCAAAATTTCCACTACCAGTTCTCCAGAACTGGTTAGAACCGGCTGAATACCACCCCTGCACCCACTCACCCGGTATGTCATGGGCCAGGATTCAGACTCAGGTTCTGATAATGCTGCTCCAGCTGAGACTGTAGAAAGTTAGCCTCGGGAATGTTCAAGCCACAATTTATCTTGTGGGACTTATGAAGTGGGACTTATGAAGTTTTCTCCATAGCTCTCCCTCCTCTGCGGAACCCCCTTCTCCCTGAGATCCAACCCTTTTTTTCCTGGTCTTCTGGAAGGCCTTGAAGAGCTGGCTTTTTTTCCTGCAAGCATTTGGAAAAAGTGAGGCTGGGGTTTTGTGCACTTGAATGTGGATGGGTGATGTATGTTTTTAGGATGCCAGGAGTTTCTGTTGTGGTTGTTGTGGTGGTGGTGGTTGTTGTATATGCCATCCACTATTATAGCACCTAAGATTTCCCCCCCCCCCACCCCAATAAATTAATAAATAAATTTATGAGTGTGAGGAGAGTTTACATTCTGTTGTATTCCAAGTGGTAACTTCAATTGTCTACTTCAAACGATTTTCTAAAAGTCAGGAGGACAAAGTTCTGGAGTATTTGCTACTGCTACAATTTCCTATGGTTTCTTCATTTTTTAATTAGAGCCTGCTGTGAAAACAATACAATCTCTGTTTAAATTAAAGTGCTCCAGTTACCTAGAAAGTTCTCTATGGGCACCTGCATAATTAAAATGCACAATGCACAGCCCAGTAAAGTGATGGTCATGACAAATAGCACTAAGTAGAATCTAAACAGCTGAACAGTCCTATGTCCAAAGTAATATTGTCCGGACTCATTGCTTTCCAGAGCAGCAAAAAGCCTTCAAACACCAACTTTAAAGGCAGCTGCAGTTTCCTTTTATGTGGGCTGATCACTTTCTCCATTAGTTACCTGAAAAGGTAAATGGTCCTATCCCAGAGACTCTAAGCCTTCCTTCCAGGGAGTCTTGCATTGTTCTCTCGCACTACGATTTTGGGTCTTATTTTGAGTGCTTGAGGATGGAATATCTTAATGTTACTGCCTTTGGGATGGCTCCAGCAAGGTAGGACAATAATGAATATGTAGACATTTGCCTTACTTTCTTTGCCCTGCTTATGTTGAAACCCTGCCCCCCTCTTTCCTCCTTCTTGCTTAGAATTGAAGAAAAATAAAAGATTGTATCCATCTAAACATGTGCTAAGTCCATCTCTAATTAGAGGCATGTTCAGACAAATCTCCAGATTTGTCCTCTTTGAGGGGGATTTCAAAGTGAAGGTTTTCAAGACATCATTAGCCATGGAGGCTGGCAGAAGAAAGAGTTTGGCCCTATTTCCTGCCTACCAAGATTTGAATCCTCTATCCTCAGAGGGAAAAGCTGAGGAATCCAATGGTCCGTGGATCAACAATCTCAAGACTGAACCTCCGCAGCATAAGAAAGAAAACATTAGATACCATCTTCAGAAGGCCAATTGATTAGCACTACTTTTTCCTTGGGATGAAAAAGTATTGGGGAGAATAGTCTGTGGGACACATCTATAAGACAATGTCTCCATTAGGACATCTCATACTACTGGGACCAACCAAATTCCTTGTGTGCCTAGCAATAGCAATAGCACTTAGACTTATATACCGCTTCATAGTGCTTTACAGCCCTCTCTAAGCTGCTTAGAGTCAGCATATTGCCCCCAACAATCTGGGTCCTCGTTTTACCAACTTTGAAAGGATGGAAGGCTGAGTCAACTTTGAGCCAATGAGAATCGAACTGCTGGCAGTCGGCAGAGTTAGCTTGCAATACTGCGTTATAACCAATGCACCACTGCAGCTCTTAATAAAGTATTGCTGTGATTAGACACCAAATAAAGTGGCCAAATAATAGTATTCAGTTCAATTCAATTCATAATTAGGAGAACTAGATTTCAATGGATTTTGAAGCAAATTTTGAAAGCTAAATAGTCCATTATTCCAAGAACTGAAAGAAAAAGAAAACTCACTTAGAATGTCAATGAAAATAGAAAAATACTTTTCAGTGAGGGAAGTTCTGTAATAATCGAAACAAGCAGAGAGCAGGGATTTGGAATTGCATTATTACTGCATGATGTCACCTTCATAGCAAGAATTTTAAAGATGTAGAATGGTACAATACATTTCAAAGTCTCAACACTGATTTCTTATGCAGGGCTAGCCTACAAGGACCTAAAAGACCAGGCAGATCATCTTGGAGAAACTTTATCTATCTGGCGGCTAGCTGATGGAGACTGGAGTTTGGTCAACTCCAGACTCACATAACTGTTATCAGCGCAGCTTGATCTCCCAAGTGGAAATATTACAACTGGAAAAAAAGGAGATACTTTTAGTCCATGAGAATGTGTGCATCTATATCCTTCAGAGCAAATGAAGACATCTCAGAGGAAACCTAGGGTCAGGAAACCTAGGGTCAGAGACTCCTTGATTAAAGGAGTCCACTTAGCAGACAATTTAGTTTTGAAGTGCAGCCCTAGGAGGGTTCAATTAACATTTTTTCCAGCACCACAGGCCTGAATGAAATCATTTCACTGAATCTACCATTAGCCATGGGAAGGGGGAAAAGACATATAGTAATACAAATACTGCCATCCTCCAACTCCAGGTTCCAGCTAAATTCAAAGGATGGTTGCTTAAAAGGTGGCTACATCAGGAGTCCTTGTAGGCTGCTAGGTATATTGTTGTCAATGACTGGCCCTATTACAGAAAAAGAAAGGATTTATCCAGATACAAAACAGAGATTTATCAGAAAGTTATGTACTTCCCCTTTTGCCCCTTCTTGCAGAAGATTCTCTTTTTGCCTTTGTTTTTGTCCCTTTTCTTCACAGATGGGCAGACTTTCAAATGAAACTGCATCTATCACTTTTATTGAAGAAACCAAGAGTCCTCACTTGGCTAAGGCGGGATATAAATAAATATAAACAGGCTGAAATTACCATATTTTGGACACATTATACAAAGACCCAGTTCTCTTGAGAAATCCACAAACCTGGGAAAGGTGGAAGGAAAAAAAAAGATAGAGAGCAGCATGATAGAGGGACAAGATGCAATGGGTGCATCACTGGAACACTTGTAGAGACAGGCTGGAGACAGATCATCCCGAAGGTCTCCTCTATGTTGTAGGTGAGAGTAAACATGAACTTGATGGTACCAATCATCTATCATCTCTCCTTTCCTCAGAGTGTATGAGATTCATTTGGGTTCCAGAGGCATTTTTGGAAATAATAAATATGCTGACTGTTTTTTGCTTTGTACATATCAACTTTCCTCCCCTTTTCTTCAATGTAGTTAGGTGAAGAAGAGAGCTGAAGCTGTACATGGACACCATACTGCACCCAAGTGCCACAGTGGGAACTCATGTCAGGTAAATAGTGGCAGGAGGAAATGGAAAGCTCTCATCCCACCTTCCAACTTCCAGTGTCTCAATCTCATTTTTAGCTCACAATTACTTTTAATCCCCCTTAATTCCCAAAGATAAAATAGTATAAACATTGAAAGAACTCTGATTTCTAGCAGCAAGTAAAAAGGCTCTTTTAGAGAGATCAGCCACACCAGAAATGGTCTTGTAACACTACTGAGAGAAAAAATATCTATGAAAAGCAGCAGATAAAATAGGCTAGTTTAGAGAGTAATAACTTCTACATGAACTCACATTCTTTTCAAGGCAGGTTTATATGTGCATTTAAAATATCACTTCCATTAGTATAATGATTGCTAACAATATAACTTTGCAAGATAAAATTGACCATATATTTTCTAAAATTAAGTCTTAACTTTAATACCCTTCTCAAAGGTTATCATATTGTTTTTGTTGTTTCTATACCTCTTCTGCTTCTTGTTAGAGGCTGTGTATTTAGTATCTTAAAGCCTGTAACCTTTACCTTTAGAGAACATGATTTTAGGTTCTTATTGGGACATAACATAAATAAACACAATCCTTCACCATATAAACCACCATGAACACATATTAGGGCTCTTTCAGACTTTCTTGTTCTTTGGCTGAAAAGTGATTGACGAACATGAAAAATAAAAATTTCCTCATCAGAAATTTGAGAGCAGATTTGAGAGCATCATGAGAGCAGATTTCGAGCTAAGCACTTTGAGTCCTTTTATTTCAGAGGAAAAGGTGAGAGATTATTTTGAGGGGGTATTAACAAACTATTGCATAGCTTTGACAGGAAAAGACATAAAAACACACACATAAAGGGACCGAACGTATCCACTGCGTTTAATAAGCAAAGAAAAATAAACTTCTAATTTGCTTGTTCAAGAAAACCTTCCCGAGAAGCCACATCCAGTGCACCACTTCCCAGTCCACCCGCTAGCGACGCAGAAATGTAAAATACTAACGAGCTGAAGTAAACAGCACGATTTAACGGAGTGGGTAACCCCAGAAATTTGTCAAGCAAAGCTGGATCGGATGCACTCCTAACGGCTTCGGGATTAAGCGAGGACCCGGCAGGCGACTGAGATGAGACGCGGCTCTTCGGGAAAAGCGGGTCACTGCCAGCCAGCCAGCTGCCCGCCCGCCCGCGCCCACGATCAGTGGCTGAGAAGACTCTGACAGTCAGGCGCCGTGGACCTGCGAAGCAGCGGGCGGCCTCTTGTCGCCGAAGGCTCCTTTTTCGCTTCTAGGCCATCTGCTTCTTCTTCTTCTTCTTCCTCCTCCCCTTGGAATCCTTCCTCCTCCTGCGCGCTCCGCTCGTCTAGTGGGAGCTGCCGCTCGCTGGCCGCGCGAAGCGGGGGAGAAGCAGCCGACGCGGCCCCGTCGTGATCGTCTCCGGCCTGCGACGACGGCGACTCCGGGAAGATGAGGAGCAAAGCGCCGGCCGAGCGCAGGGCCCGCACGCACCCGTGGTGGCCCCCGCTGGCGGCCAGCTGGAGCGCGGTGTGGCCGGCGCGGTCTGCGCGCTCGAGGCGGAGCTGCCCGAAGCGGCGGAAGGCGCGCAGGAGCCACTCGACTACCGCCGTTCGCCCTTCCGAGGAGGCGTACATGAGAGGGCTCCAGCCGCGCGCGTCCACCGTGTCTGGGTCGGCGCCGAATTGAACCAGCAGCTTGATGACCTCCAAATAGCCGCGCTCGCAGGCCAAACTGAGGGCGCTGCGCCCGGCGTCGTCGCCCAGGTTGACGGCGGCGTGATGCTCCAGCAGCAGTCGCGCAAAGGCCAGTCGCCACGCCGGGTCCTTCAGCAGCACGGCGTACATGAGAGGCGAACGGCCGCGGTCGGATCGGCAATCCACAATCGCCCCATCGACGGCATCCAGGACAAAGCGCGCCAGATGCATCCGGCCAGCCCTCATGGCCTCCAGGAAAGTCTGCGTGGACGCCCCGGGGCCCAGGTCCCGCGGTTTCAGCATGGCCTCCCGCTGCTCCAGATCCCCCCCGGTTCGTGTGCCTGCTGGTGACTCGAGGCGGCGGCTCTCCAGATCGGCTTTATAGCCTCCCCTCAAGTCTCCATGGCGATCGCCGCCTTTCCGCTTCGAGAGAGACAGATCTGTTTTAAGCGCTCGGGTTGGCGGGCTGTGGAGGGATGTCGTCCTAACCCCGAGATAGTCACGGACGGCAGGAGCTTTCCCCCCCCCCCCGCCCACCTGCTTTCGCCCGTTAGGTTGGGCGGGAAGCTTAACGCAAGTCCAAAGGACTGATTCCCCAGCCTCTTTGGCAACGGAGCCCCGGGCGATCTCTGCGTAATTGGGAGACCGTCTGAAGTAAGAAGAAATAGACATTCTTGAATGGTGGGATAGTTTCCTCTGACTTTTTCAAAGCTCAGGTATACAGTACAGGTAGTCCACGACTTACAACAGTTCATTTAGTGACCGTTCAAAGTGACAATATCACTGAAATAAGTGACTTATGTTATGACCATTTTTCACACTTATGACCATTGAAGCATCCCCATGGTAATTTGATCAAAATTGAGACACTTGGCAACTGACTCACACGTATGACGGTTACAGTGTCCCAGAATCATGTGATCACCTTTTGCGACCTGATAATCAAAATCAATGGGTAAACCAAATTCTCTTAGCTACCGTGTAACTAACTAAACGACTGCAATGATTCACTTAACAGTTGTGGCAGGAAAGATGGTAAAGTGGGGCAAAACTCATTTAACAAATGTCTCGCTTAGCGACATAAATTTTGAGCTCAATTGTGGTCGTAAGTCGAGGACTACCTAGTCCTAGGTCAGTGATGGCTAACCTTTTCAGCTTGGTGTGTCGAAAATCGGGAAAAAGTGTAGCCTTCCTCGGGTCGTGTGTCACTTCAAGAAATATCAATAATTTGGTTTATGACGGACTGGGCTGGGGTGATCACACAGGGCTCTGAAACTCGTCTCCCTGGTCTCAGGGCTGCAGGTGCAGGATGTGGGGATCGGAAGGCCACCTTACAGGGCTGTGAACCTCATGGATCTCCTTTCCTCCTGTAGCATTCCTGAGGTAATGAAACTGACAAACCTCAGTTTATGGCGATTAAAACTGGTTCTCTGCTGCAAAGATCTTGCGGCAGCGGTGACACCATGCCTCCACGCAACAAGCAGGAGCAGGGATTGGAGCAGAGCACAGGCAGCCTCTAAATGTGCAGGTTTTCCCCACACCAACAGGCGTGTCAGTCAAAGTGCCTCGGGGTATCACGAGTGACACGCGTGTCATAGGTTAGCCATCACTGTCCTAGGTAGTAGGCAACATGACTCAGTGAGTAGAAGGCAGCTGTATCTATAGGGCTACCAAATCTGGGTGGAAAAAATTGGCAGGATCACTGCATGGTAGCAGATGTTTTTCTCTTTGCTTCCTTCTAATGGTTGTTTGGATTTTTGCAGCTCAGGTCTGGTAATCCTACTGTATTTAATTACTTGGGACCTGGGATCTACCAGAAGTGTTCCCCTCCCCCCCTTTAATTCTCTCTCATCAATGGTCTTGCTACTTTGGAGTTCTGGGCATTGAAATCCACCTTATCTGGAGAGCAATACCATGGAGGAAGCTTTTTTAATGTCATGTGGAAAAGCTATCTGGGATATTTGATGCAGACACTGGTTGTCACTTGATGGATATGCATTTATGCATTCAGCCTTTTTGTTGCATGGTTGTGTTGGAGGATAAGTTGTATATACATGCAGTACTCATGTATAGTCCTCGGGACCCAGAAACCAGACTCTTCATTTTTGATTTCTGCTTTTCACAAGGACAGATGGTAGCAGGGCCAGTAAATGCAACAAACAGCTTTTTCATGGTTTGAGATCATCCTGGTGGGTGCATTAAATTTCATTTTGCTCTGTCAGGATTTCCAGTGTCAATGTCTATGTAGACAGGACCTTGTATGTTTCTCATCAGTTTGTGCTTAGTTCTGTACAGATACTGAAACCAGATACAGGACAGTATACGGTAGAACAGGGGTCTCCAAACTTGGTAGACAAATAGACCAGACAACTCCCAGAATTCCCCAGCTGGCATGGCTGGTTGGGGAATTTTGGGGAGTTGAGGTCCACAAGTCTTAAAGTTGCCAAGGTTGGAGTCCCCAGTATAGAAAGTGAGAAATCCATATCAATCACAAACTTTTCAAGATATACCAGGATGTGCTGAAAGTCTTCTAGCAGTTAGTAATGGTCATACGTATAAAGACAACACACTAGCCCTGAACTTCTTCTAGAGGGCTCCGAAATGGGACAGGTTGGCCTAATCTTGAGCACAAATGAGGCAGCTCCTTATCGAATTCCACAGTTTTCCGGCATCTTACCTTTGATTTTTAGTAGAATCAGCACCAAGAATTATTAAAATATATTAAGTATAATAATTATATAATAACATAATTAGTAAAACTTTTGACCATGGCACTACTTTTTCCTTAACTTAGTTGTTTTTGATTGTTTGCTGGTATAGGTAATCCTTGATCTATAGCCATTCATTTAGAGATACAACTGTTGGAGATACAACAGTAATGAAAAAAGTGACTTACAACTAGTCCTCACACTTATGACTTTGCAGCATCCCCACAGTTATGTGATCAAAATTCAAGTCCTCAGCAACCAGCATGTACGTACGATGATTACAGCATCCTAGGATAATATTTACATGGAATATACTTGGTGAAGGATAGAATAGAGCGATTATTTTCCAAGATGTAGAAAATATAATTCTATTGAGGCAGTTAAAACTGCATTTGTCTTTTTGAAGCTATATTTCACTGCTAATGCATATTCTGTGATAACTAGAATTGTAAGGCATTTTTCATGTACTATTGGCTACATTTTAAGCGTGGTGTCATCCTGTACTTGTGTATTTTCTGAAACAATTTTTTTTCATTTGCCTCTGCAAAAATTTATTTGCTATTTTCAGATCACTTTATTGACAGCAGTACAACTTTGAATGTCATTTCTGTCTTCTAAAGTATTAGGTTTCCTTCTCAATTGTGAGTCTTCTCCAAATTTTAGAAGACTTTCTTTCATCTCATCATCTGAATCTTTAATAAAAATGATGAAAAATACAAAGCCTTGTGACACCTTGCTTGATAATTCCCTCCAATTTGATAACAAGTTGAGGAGAGGACTGTTTGAAGATTCATTCATTCAATCAATCAATCAAGTTTCTATACAGCCTGTTCTTGGCATAGTTTGTCCACAAAGCCACTTGAAGCTTAATTGTTATACTGTACTTCTAACTTGTATCCATGTAGCTTGTTAACCAGAAGCTCATAGGGAACTGAATGTCACATTCTCCCACAACTTATTCTGGGTCTAATTCAACAATTCTTTATATCTTAATTAATTTGTGATGGATACTGTTCTTTTAGCTTTGGTTGTAATTACTGTAATAAGTATCATCACACCATCTTTTTAGAAAAATTGAAAAACTATTGAATGTGATTAGTACTTGGCTGACCCTGTCTACATGAGAAGACTAAACAGGATTAGTCCTAATTAATAGTTAGCTGAAAGAACAAGCACAGAATTAATTGCAAGTCTGTAGAACAGACTAAGACATTGAAATATATCCCAGAAGAAGACAGTGGCAAACTACTTCTTTATTGTTGCCAACGATTGTTGCCTGATTTTATCCATGAGTCATCTAGAGCTAACTGCATGGGAATCTCAAGACTCAAGGCAGACTTTACTAATCACTGTAGAGAAAGGATGGTGAAAGTAAAGGATCTTCTGAATGTTTTGTGGATGAACGGCTATGCTCTTTTACAGACCTCCAATTATTCACAATAAGAATTATTCATATTTTATAGGGCACCATTAAATGATAGCTTCATAACTTCAGATAGCATTCAGATGGTTCTAAATATAAATTGGTAACAGTAGCCCTTATAGTGTATCCTCTGATTATTTGCATGGTTATTTCTTCATCATGAATATTGCAATAAGTCTGACGAAATGCCTAAGGATGGTGATAAAATAACAGACCGACACCAGCTGCGTCTTTGCAATTCACATCAACAATTTAATTACCCATCCTTCGGAAGTCTTTCATACTGACTATAGCCTTCCGTTTGCTTTCTTCACTGACTGTTGAAGACTATGCAACAATTTTGATTTTAACCAGTCTTTGTAATACATTATAATACAGTTGATTAATTCAACAAGAGAGTGGTACCCCCCTCCCACCCACCATTTGCTATGTTGTGATGATTATTCCGGTTGTTGTTATTGTTATCCTCCTGGGATGAAGTTAGTCTCTTGTTCTTGATTTTCCACATGATCTGGCAATCCCCAGAAGAAAAAAGATTAAATAAGTCCCTATCTCGCTTCAAAGCATTTAAAACCCAGCGGAGTACTAATTATGACTCATGAAAGCAATAGTTTTTTTTTCCCCTTCTACCTATTACTGAAGGGATGGGGAACATGTTGCTGAACGATAGCCTTGGCATTCTCCACCATTTGGCTCGCTGTTCAAACCTCTTAATCCAGCAGTATTTGAAGAACCCTAGTTACCTGCTGCTTCTGTATAGGATTTGAAATTATGAATGATAGGAATTACATAGAAAGAAAAGGAAGTTTGCCAGTAACACATAAAACAGGGAATGCTTTTCTTTCGTCAGGAGGCTTGTAACCTAATATAAATTCCTGTCCAGGTATTTAATAGGCAGACGAAAAGAGGCAGTGATTAATATAGCACTAAAAAAAACCTGCTTCAAATAAAAATGTATTCCATAACAACACACACACACACACAGATAGTCCTCAACTAACAGTAGTTCATTTAGTGACTGTTCATAGTTGCAACGGCACTGAAAAGAGAGTTCTGACCATTTTTCACACTTAAAGCGTCCCTATGGTTGTGTGATCAAAATTCAGACGCTTGGCAACTGACTCATATTTATGACACTTGCAGTGTCCTGGGGTCATGTGATCACTTTTTGTAACTTTCTGACAAGCAAAGTCAATGGGGAAGCCAGATTCACTTAAGAACCTTGTTACTAACTTTATAACTTAAGTGATTCATTTAAGAACTGTGGCAAGAAAGTCATAAAGTGGGACAAAATTCACTTAATAACTGTCTCATTTAGCAACAGAATTGTTGGGCTCCATTGTGGTCATAAGTTGAGGAATGTATGTATGTATGTATGTATACACACACACACATATTCATATATAATTTAATAAAAGATAAAGGTAAAGGTTTTGCCTTTCCAAAAGTTTCCAACTGCAGTGGCCATTATTCATCACCGTTTCTTAGCCGAGGGAGCCAGCATTGTCTGAAGACATTTCCATGGTCATATGCCAAGGCACACAGAACACTGTTACCTTTCGACCAAAGTGCTATCTATTTATCTACAAGAGTGTGGTGGCAGAGTGGTTAGAATGCAGTATTGCAGGCTAATTCTGCTGACTGCCAACTGCCAGCAGTTTGATTCTCACCGGCTGTAGGTTGACATCCTTCTGAGATGGGTAAAATGAGGACCCAGATTGTTGGGGGCAATATGTTGACTCTGTAAACTGCTTAGAGAGAGCTAAGGCACTGTGAAGTGCTTAGAGAGAGCTAAGGCACTGTGAAGCGGTATATGAGTCTAAGTGCTCTTGCTAATCGCATTTACATGCTGTTGATCTGCAAGGTGAACAAGTTCTTGTTACTGGGGCTCACCCCATTGTGTGGTACTTGGCTCTCATATCGTAATACATACTCCCTCCCTGAAAAATGTAAATCATTCCAATCTTACAGTGATTGGCTAATCAAGTTCAGCTTTCCCTCATTTGGCACTGTTGATTATTGCTTCTGGGAAATATGAGATTTATAATGCAATGCAATTAGGGGGTAACTGGAGCAGTTGTGCATACATGCATACACACACACACACACACACATACAAAACACTTTGATGCAATATTTCAATATTTTTTAATATTTTGATTCTGTGGGGGGAGGGATTTGTAAAAAGGGCATATTTTGTTGACAAACTGAATACATTGCTACAACATTACAGGATTTCCAAGCAGCTTAGCAATCATTTCTGAGTCTCAAGAGGATACGGAATAATTTCTAAATGAGTGGGTTCTTCCTTTCTCAAGCACATTGTATGGAAACTGTTCCTTTCTTTGAATCTTCCAGTTCTAATCCCTTATATTTCTAGATAGAAACAGGGGTGGGATTCTACCAGTTTGTACCTATTCTCTAGAACTGGTTGTTAACATTCTAAGCAGTTCGAAGAACCGGTTGTTAGAAGAAATTACTGGCCTAATCCTGTAAGAAAGGCAGGAAGGAAACATTCTGGTGTTGCTTACAGAAACTGCCTCTTCGTTAACCCTTATTACATTCTTGGCAGGACTAGACTTCCTGTCTCAGGAACTTCTCTGGAGTTTTTTTCCTTTGCTGGTACTTTGCTTGTGTGGAGTGACCATTCAAAGTTACAATGGCACTGAAAAAAGTGACTTATGACCATTTTTCACACTTAACGACTGTTGGAGCATTCCCCACAGTCATAAGAGGCCAGGTGAGGAGCTGCGTGCCTCGATGTGAGTGATATTGAGTTGGCCACGCCCAGCCAATAACATGACCACCAAGCCATGTCCACCCAGTCACAGGACCACCAAGCCATGCCCACCACCTAAGCCACGCCCACAGAACTGGTTGTTAAAAATTTGAATCTCACCCCTGGATAGAAACAATATTTTAGAAGAAATGGCCAGTCTAGAAACATTTGTATTGCTATCAATTCATTTTAGCCCTTCAAAATTTGAGCTTTTTGTTGTCAGAGAAGAGATCAGCTTATTAGAAATATGGCCTATTATGAGGCTGGTTATCAGGGGTGGGATTCAACCGGTGTAGTAACCGGTTCGGTGAGCACGTGCTTTGCGCATGCATTATGTGCGCATGCACAACATTTGAAAACCATCTTCTCCTGCAAGTATCTCATCTTCTCCTGACACCCAAAATCATCTTCTCTTGCCGCGCAAAGCAGTTGTGGTTGAAAAAGCAGGAAATAAAGGGCAGCCTAGAGCCCAGGTGGGTGAAACAGAAGAATAGAAGATCGTCGGAGCGAACTGTTTCTCTCTCAGCTGATCTTTGGAGCTACTGGTTTGGGAGAACAGGGCCAAAATGGTAGAATCCCACCTCTGCTGGTTATACTTTCTACTAGTATATCAGCCAGAGATTTCTCTTCTTTTCAATCTCCAAACTCTACTTTTAAGAGCTCTCTTCCAATCAAAAAAAATAAAGCACCAAAAAAAATACATGCATGAATGTTGGTGGTGGGACAGTTTCATACTTGATGAAATGCCAGTGACTTGCTAGAATTAGGAATCTGTCTCAGTGTCCCCTTTGCAGCTACTGGCTGTCATCCATTTGTTCAGCTAGCATTATTTTCTTTCCTTCTTCCCTTCAAATAGCTCCCCTGGAAAAATTCACAGGCTGATGCCATACCACATAAATATGTGATGGTAGATAGGCATAAACTGAGCAAGGGCCTGTCTCATGGTACAGTATTTTCTTAAATGTTATAAATGAAGAAATCTTACTGATGATATCTGGTATTTGAGTATTCCTTAGCAAAGCAGTTGTAAGCTGGCTTTCTAACACCTTGAATCCTCAGAAAGTTCACCTGAGATTTGTAAAAGTCAGAAAGTGTCTTAAAAGCAGCCATGACAACCACTGCAGAGGTGGGTTTCCCCTCCCCCCTTTTAAAGCAAGGGTGCAGCCTTTCTCTGCAGATGTTTGAATTGCTCCAAACTCATCATTTCCTGTCCTTTTGGATCTAGTGGCACTAATGGTTCCTAAGTTAGATTGATGGCTGCCCTAATTTATCTTGAATGAATTTGCATATATTATTTTAATCAAGAAATCATCTCTAAACTGAAAACCATCTCGTATTATTGTTTGAAAAACTGCACAGTTGTTTCATATTTGCTGGACACTTGTGTGCATACACACTCCCCACCGCCCCCCCAAAAAATTAAGGTTACTTTTGCCATTCCATGGCCTGAAAATAGTCATATTTCTTTTTGAAAAACAAGACCCACTAGACAATAATTTCAGCTGCAGTTCCACAGAAACTTCTGGTTTTGTGAAAGATGACAAATTGGTGCACACATTGCAAATTATTCCTTTGTAGACTTGAGAGTGGCCAGGTTTATAAAATATATTTCTATTGGTAGATTTGACTGTTTTTTGTTTGTTTTTTTAAAAAAATCACAGTTGGGACAGCAATACTGAGATAGCTCTTTTGCTGCCCACAAAACTGCATTAGAAAAAGACAGCTGACTGGCCTGCTTACATAGCTTGAAAGAAGCAAGATAGAACTAAAAGCTGACTAACAAATATCAGTGTTTGATTTTTTTCCCCTCACCCACCTCAAAACTGGACATGCAATTAAAGAGCAGCCAGTAAAAAACCCAAGACATCCTAGTGATGAATATCTTGTCACAGTATCTATAGTGATCCATCAGACCACTCTAGCAGAAGCAGTCTTCCCTGGCTCATCCTGGAACATATCAATGGTCTTGGGTCTATTCAGGGATAGGCAAACTTGCAGCAGCTAAAAATTGCTGCTGAGTCTAACCTGGTTAGTCAGCCACTTCTTTTCCTGCAACCAGCTCAGCCTGTAAGTTCCTGACTGTCCCTCATGAGCACTGCTCTGTGAAAAGGTAAAATCCATCTCTCCCAAATGGTTTAAAAGAGGGCCAGAGAGAATATGTATCTAAGCGATTACATGATTGGATGGCAAGCAGTGTTCAGCTGCTCCATTTTGTCACGAAGACTTTATGATAAAGGATATCTGTGAGGCGATTCCTATACATCTGGGCTAAAGAAGAGCAACTTGGGTTAATTGGCTGTGTCTGTTCAGATAAAGAGAAGTATTTCTGCTGATTGTCTGTCCCCTTTAAGATGTTGAGTGAGCTGATGTCCCACAACAAAAGTGGATTAAGAAAACAGCCAAACCTAGAAAAGAGTCCTCTCGAATCAGGGAAGAAATCTTGTTTTTCAATCAGGCTTAATTTAGATAAATGGAAACACCACACATTCCTTCTGCATTGTAGTTGACCTCCATTGTGCTAGGACTCTTGAGATGCTTCAAAGTTGTCTATTGAATGCCGTAAAGAACTGACTACATAACTGTTTTCTGCAATCAGCTAATATGTATGAGACTTTGGAAGTGATCCCTCTTTATCCTGTAGAGCAGGGGTGTCAAACTCACGTCATCATGGTGTCATCACGTGATGTATCAGGATGTTTTCCCCCTTCGCTAAACTGGGTGGGGGTGGGGCCAGCACATGACAGATCTGGCCCGCAGGCCACGAGTTTGACACCCCTGATGGAGAGAATTTGGTAAATAGAATAAGCTGGGTATTATCAGCACTCCACAGTACTGTGGAAAAATCTTCTGAAGGGAAGGCTTATAACTGCCAAAACATCCATGTGGGCATCTCTATATGTGGTGTCTTCCACTCCAGAATTTATGCTTTGTCCTTTTGATCTCCCTTCCCCCTTTCAACATTTCCAATATAACAACTGAGCCAATTGTTTCTGGCTTGGACTTGAAACTGCTTCTGAGCAAGATTGGTTTTTGAGATAACGGGGCTGTTACCTTCATGCCTGTCCAGATGGAGAGTTGAGAAACTTAACTAGCTGGCTGTTGTTCAAATCCACCCAATAAGGCTCATTCTATGTTGTGATAATAGTAGGCAATATCTGTTGACTTTAGTGGTAAATGTAAACAGAGTGAAAACCTCTGATGTCAGTCTGCCAGATCAAAATATCCTACTATTCAAAAAAAAGTTGGCTAACAGTAACAGATATTCCACTATGGAATATTCTATGGAACTCTGAAACAAAATGAGATTTACTTTTAAAATATAGGAACTTTAAAATAAGACTTCCACTGAGTCTTACAATCTGCTGGATTCTTCATCCATGATAACTTCCTCCTTCACCACCTCAGTGGCATATCTTAGAGTCTCAGGAGTCACCAGGTTCCCACATGGCCTTTGATCTCCCTCACCGGCAGCTCCAGGGGCCTCTCTCTTTGCCGTGTCAGCTTCCGAAGGGTAACAGACTTTCATGCAGTTCTTCACTGAATCTTGCACTTCTGCACTGATAGTTTTCATCTTGTTTTCATACTCTGTGAATGCTTCCTGCTGGAGCTGCAGAAAGAGACAAGAAAGGTTCACAGTGGAGAAACCTGATTGTTGCATGTTTACAAATTCAGTTATGTATCTTTTAGCAATGTCAACTTAAAAAAAAAAAAAAATACTCCTCTCCGAGGACAAGATCCCTGTGGTAAATTACTTTTTCCATTCCTTTGCTGTAATTATAGGTGTGAGGAGAAGATCGTTCCCACTGGGGCCTACAGGGAACTCTACCTTGCAAACATGGAGGGAATGAAAGGTTCAACCTCTTTTCCTCATGCACTGTATAGAAGTCCCATAGAAAACTGCATTCTGATAAAAAAAAAATGAAAAAAAAAAACCCTATCCAAATAAGCCTAAGCAGTTTGTTTATTCTTGCTATCTTGTAAAAGGCTCAGAACCAATAGGATTTCATGAATGAATGTTCAAGGAGGTGAATGCAATCTGTATGGCATAAATGCTGCTTAATAAATAGAGGACTGAGGGAAGGGAATAGGCTGCCTCAGCCATCCCCAATCTTCCACGTGTGTCAGCTTTGACCATGCTGATTGAGATGTGTTGGCAGTTGCAATTCCAGTACTTCTGAAGGGAAATAATTTGTGAGGCCTTTGGACTTATTCTAGACCTCCTGCTATACTAGTAATCGTGAAAGGACGTTTGCTGTCAATTAGTCACGTGATACCTGGCTTTCTTTTTCCTTGATTTTTCCTAGGCAGGTTGACTGCTTTGCTTCCAAGACTTGTTGGTGCCTTGACTGTTTCGCATTCATCTTGAAGCAAGAGAAACATTTATGTTAGAAGGAATAACCTTCCATGCAATTATATAAATGCGACATCTCAATGCAGTATCATTCTGTAGGTACAACAATACCAGTGATGAAGTCTTCAGGGTATTTTAGCTCCCAGTCCTCCCAAAGCCCCATATTCCAGTATTATTTTTATAAATATCAGATATATGACAACTGTTTTGCTATTAAATATTACAAGCAACCCTTGACTTACGACCACAATTGAGCCCAAAATTTATGTTGCTAGGTGAGAAATTTGTTAAGTGAGTTTTGCCCCCATTTTTACGACTTATTGCCAAATTTGTTAAGTGAATCACTTCAGATGTTAAATTAGTAACACAGTTGTTAAGTGAATCTGGCTTCCCCATTGACTTTGCTTGTCAGAAGGTCGCAAAAGGTGATCACATGACCTTGGGGACAATGTAGCCATCATAACTATGAACTATTTGTCAAGCATCCAAATGTAAATCCTTCAATGATCTTAGGGATGCTGCAACAGTCATAAGTGTGAAAAATGGTCATAAGTCACTTTTTTCAGTGCTGTTGTAACTTCGAATGCTTTACTAAATGAATTGGTACCGTGTTTCTCATATAATAAGGCCGGGTCTTATTTTTTTTTGAGCCCCGAAAAAATGGCTAGGTTGTCTTTTCAGGGGTGACTTAATTCCCCCCCTTGCATCTTCGGGCGGGTGGGCGGCGACGGCTTGGATGTTGACCTCGGCGTTGGTGCAGCACTTTGTATCGGGGTCAACGCAGGCAGCACCATATCCGGGTGTGCAACAAGAGTACTTCCTAACGGCAAGCCCCCCCCACCATTCCCCCCATTTCGCATGTTTTAATATAGGCCTTAATTTGGGGGGAGGGGCTTAATTTCATTTCATGCCTATAAAACATGCTGGGACTTCCTATTGGGGGAGGCCGTATTGTTGGAGAAACAGGGTAGAACATTCAAGTACTATCTGTACTAGAATGCTTTGCTATACATCATTGTTGAAACCAACAACTACTGAGATTTAGACTCAGTCATATGTGATAAGAAGTATGATTCAATGACTTTTTTCTTAGGCTCATGACATTTTGATCCCAATTTTATTTTTCTCTGCATAGTAAGTAATGAGTAGCCACCCTAGACAGCTAACCTGACATCAGTTTGTCTCATGCACAGGTGATCATTTGAAATGTCTTAAGGCGGTGAGAAATGTTCTATCATTGCCTGTCTAAGCCAAGGGGAGGGTCAACGGTCAACTGCTTCTGTTCCAATTTGAAAATTGCAATGATTTTCCTCATATACTTACTCCTATTGAATTATTCACTCATAATAACTATGAATTAGATTAAGTTGTGAAAATAACAGCAGTGAAGTAAAATTCTGCCCCATAAATGTTTATTTTGATTTATCTATGTATTTATTTATTACATTTCTACATGACCTTAATGGCCTTAATATTTAGTTACATTAAGTTACAATAAATTAAATTTAATTCATTAATTAAAATAAATGAATTTATTTATTCTTTTTTTGTTTCATGTTATGACTTTAATCTTCCAGTTAGTTTATTCTGCTTATAATGAATAATTACACTTGTCCCCATTGTACATCATCCTGGACCCCAGATGGATAATTGTCTAAAAGGTGAAAACTTCAGTATGTTTTAACACCCACAGAAATCACAGGAAAAAAAAAGATGAAATGGTTATCAAGGCCCCACTGTAATGTATGACTTGAAGCTACTCCAGGCACCATATAAAATACTGCAGTGGGAATATAGCTTTGGAAATATTCCAGAAGAGAAAAGAGAAGTACACATGATCTACTAAATGGGGGTCAGAGCCCAAGCTCTTTCCTTCTTATAGGGGTCTGTGTAAAGCTGCGAGAGCCCTTTTGGATTGGGACCCTACATCTGGATTAAAATTAGAAAGGAGGAACCATCTGTAAATCACTGGGCACAGCATTTGCCCAAATCAGTAGGGCAGACCTAATAATTGTTCTTTTAGATGCAACAGAAAGAATCCAGAAGGCTACTTACCTGCTTGACTGCTTTTACAACTTCCTGAATATGTGAATTATTGATTTCTCTTTTTAACCTTTAGGAAAAACAAAATAAGCCTTATGTATTAGTTAACATTTACAGCTTCGATTGTTGTTAAGGCACCCTCTAGATAAAATGTTTTCATACCATACGTAACCACTTAAAAGCAGAAAGAATTTCAATATAGAAAAAGTAATATTTTTTGTCTGCAAAAGAGAAGCCTCTTACAAACTCTAGTCTAGGACTGGCTAAATTATACTAATCACTTGAGCACTTACAGGTGGCAGGTTTGTCCATAAGATGGGCTGATTATTATTTGTTCAGGACATGTGGTCACAATAAAAGACTAAAATACTGGTTATTAACAGATCGACTGAAGTGAAGAAGCAGCATATTAAGAAACCAAGGGAAAGAAAGAAGATACTTTGAACCTGCCAGGTATTGTTACTGTAAGAAGCTTCGGGATTTCATTCCTTCCCATTTCTTCTCCTTCATCTCATCAAATGATCCAACTTCGTCATGAGTTATCAAGATTGCTTATGTTGAAATCATACTCAACGAGCACTGATGGAACATGGAAACCATCTTCATTCGTAAACATGTTGGAGATGAGATGTGAAGGCCTGACTAAAATCTTGATTATTTTTACACATACAACCCCTCATACCTGCAGACATCCCTGTTACTTGTCAGGCACAATGAATTGCAATTATCCAAAACTAGAAACAAATGCTTCCAATCATCTTGCAGCTTGCAGAATGAGACAGGTCCTGTTAACTATGTTTTAATGTGGTGATTAAACCTCCCTATGTTTCTCAAGTTTTAAGTTCTCAGGTGAGAAGAATGGCTTCTTTCTCACACTCAAAAGATCTGCAAAACAGGCATAGACTCCAAATCAGGAGCGTGCAAACCATTTTTTCACATGGAGAGTCATGCTTGGTTTTGTGGGCAGTCATGCTTGATTTTCCAGCTTGGTATGCTGGAAGTCTTGTTGCAGAAAGTGGGCAAGGTTATATTAAAATTAGGTTCAAACATTAATTCAATACAGTACATGATACAACAGCAATCTATGCAATTATTTTAAAATTTCCCTTTTCATTAAAAACACAAATCCAGCAGAAATGAGCTACATTTGGGTGTGGGGTCAAAAATACCTTTCCTGAGCACTCTTATCAGTATTCTTGGCCACAGCTTGGATTTTGTCCAGTCTCTTCACCTCTAATTTCTTTTTCATTTCTTTAGTGTTGCTGTAAAGGAAGATAATCAACTTGAGTTTACAAATTTAACAGTGTACTGTGATTAATATTAAATGCTCGCTCCTTTTCTGCTCAGATCACAGAAGGTTTCAAGGTTATACAGCACTGATTTGACAATGGACCAACAAAATAAGGTTGAGAGAAGAAAAGCTACAAAAATGAATAGAAAAATTCTGCACGCACAGACATTAATTTTATTATTACCTTTCCCAAGATTCCTTTAGTGCCTTCAGCTCAGATGCTTGCTTCTCTCTTGCAAGCTGTAACATTTTAGCAACTTTCTGTTTAAACAGAGCACAAGGAAAATGTTTTATTTTATTCTTTATTTATTTTTTAAACATTATCCCGAGTTGTTCCAAAGGTGCTTTTTCAAAAGGCAATTTGACTTTGTTTTCCTTGAAGATGTCTCGTTTCTCATCCAATAAGCTTCTTTAGTACTGAGAACTGAAGAAGCTTCTTGGATGAGAAATAAGACATCCTCAAGGAAAACAAAGAAAGTCAAATTGCCTTTTGAAAAAGCACCTTTGGGACAATCATAACAGAATAACAGAGTTGGAAGGGGCCTTGGAGGTCATCTAGTCCAATCCCCTGCTCAGGCAGGAAACCCTATACCATTTCAGACAAATGTTGTCCAATTTCTTCTTAAAAACTTCCAGTGTTGGAGCATCCACAACTTCTGGAGGCAAATTGTTCCACTGATTAATTGCTCTGTCAGGAAATTTCTCCTTAGTTCTAAGTTGCTTCTCTCCTTGATTAGTTTCCATCCAATCTTGTCCTGCCTTTAGGTACTTTGGAGAATATGTTGACATCTTCGTCCTTGTGGCAACACCTTAGATATCAGAACACTGATATCATGTCACCCCTAGTCCTTCTTTTCATTAAATCAGTCCTACCCAATTCAAGCAACTCTTCCTTAAATGTTTTAGCCTCCAGTCCCCTAATCAACTTTGTTGCTCTTCTCTGCACTCTTTCTAGAGTCTCAACATCTTCTTACATCGTGGCAATCATCATGACCTGGATGATTGACAATCTCCATAGACATTATCCTGATTTGGAATTAGGAGGATGCTTTCCACATAAGGGACTCAGATTCAACAGAGGCGCAATCAAAAGGAAGGGAGCATTAATCCTTCCTTCTCCTTGAAATGTTTTCTACCACGTCCCACAGCATTCCAATCATTTGAAGCGGGTTTGCTATGGGCCTACAGGAATTACTATGGGAAAGTTGAATAAGGAAAACATGGGAAAGAAGAATGTGCCACTTTCCTACTGAAGGAACTGCATAGCAAGTGATTAATTCAATGGCTCCAGATGTTTCCAAAGCTGTGTTTGTAATATACAGTTGTGTTGCATATTGAGGTGTGTGAGAATGAGCTAATTTGTATTTTACATAAATTTGCAGAAGGGAACAACTGATGAGAACTCCCACCTATCATTCTCAAATGATAAATTTTCTTGAGAATTGCCAAGGAATGATCAGTTCTGAATTATCAATTTAATTGAGTGCCCCAGAAATACAATGAAATATCATTTTGGTAATATAAGGAAGCCATATTCACATATAGTATGACCTTTTTTCCCAAAACAATAATGCAAATTCAAATAGCAGATTGGGGGTTTAAAGCCCCAGATGGTTTTAAAGCCAACTGACAAGTTTAGCATGTATATAATGCAGTCTTAATGAAATGATTCATGTTCATTATTGCTGTTTATTAAGTAATTAAATAAAAGAATGTTAATATAAATATGGTTACTATACCTCTATGGCATGCTGATCTTTCTTCTTCCAGATTGCATCATACTGTTCTTCTCCCAGGTGGAGTAATTCTTCCTCCAATTTCTCTTTTAGCTCCATCATTTTATTATCAGCATTCTCTGTCAACTCTGCAGCATTTCCCTTTGTGCTGCTTTCATCCAAAACTATCCTGCAACTTCAATAGACAGCAACAATTCTCAATCTAAGGCAGAAATGGCCAGATCCTGACTGTATTCCCCTTTTCACCTGGCATATTGTCATGATATTTACTCCATGAGCAGATCAGTAAATGAAAGAGTTATCAGTAATGCCCCAGAGTTTTTTTGATCTGCTTCCTCAATAGACAGGCACTATTTGATAAAAGAGCAAAACAACTGCAATCCAGCAGCTAGGGTGGCGTTCAAACTCTTACTTTTATATCAGAGAAATCTGGAATTTCTTGCTCTGACCTTGCCATTTCAGAAAGTAAAGATTATATATATTTTCATTTAATTCTGTCTGGAACTGTGTAATGCTTATTCTTCTATTTCATAGCACTTTTGTTTGGCACGTTTGAATAGCACTGGGAATAAACCAGTTGGTTAAAGGGCTGTTTCACACACCTTTTTCTAGCACCAAGAATAATATAATACCACCATATTAACACATATAACCCCATATTCCAATTTCTACCAAATCTCTGCACTGGTAAAGTGTAACAACCATATTGTTTGGATAGTGTCCTTTCATATATTGAATGTTTTTGAGATGATTATACTTCAAGAAAAAGATTTCAAAAAAAGCACCAGAACTGCCGTTTAAACACTAGAAAGTACTTACTTTTGGCAACACAGAAATTCATTTGTCTTTTAAGTAGCCATTCAAATATTCCACCCCTCTCCAATATTGGAAAAGGAAAACCTTAATGATTGTGGAATTAGGGGACCTAGAAATTGCATGTATGTACAGCCAAACACTCTTATCTATGTCTATTTTTTTCTAAGGAGAAACAATGTTTTTCCTTTCCCTAGCTCGGTTTTTCAATCTAAGCAACTTTAAGATAACTTAAAGTTAAGATAACTTTAAGATAACTTAGATTTTTAAGAATACATCTTAAAATTGCTGAGAAACACTGTCCTAGTTTGTAATATATTATATAGGTTGCAGACAGGATACAGATAGATGGAACTGATCCACTTTTTCAATACTTGCAAGAAATTCTGGACTATATTTTTGGAAGAACTACAAGCCCGGAAGGTGGAACATGGGGAAATTGGAAGAAAAATATGTCTAGAGAATTCTGTTTCAGGCAACCACATGCCTAGTGGTTTGATTCCATTCCTCCAGCTCTTCTGCTTGGCTCAGCTTATACCCAGGGGCAGGTACAGTGAAAGTAAATGTAAGTGGCCTCTGCTTGAGCCTACCATTATGAGTTGGTCATAATCCATTTAGCATGCTAACAAGTTAAGCAAATCTGGTCTAGGTCTAGATGGGGAATCATCAGGGAGCTCCATGTTATGTCACCAAGATAGCAGAAAGTCAAGACTGTAATGCAACAAAACACCGTTTTATTCTAATTGCAAATAATCTCTTTGTTTTATTATTTCAGAACTAAAGCCTACCTTTTTCTTCGTGGAGTTCTTGATGGGCATGACATTTCATTTCTGCCAAGCTGGCTGACCACCTCAGTGAAAAAAGCAGCGTATTTCTGTAATAGTTCTTCCTTGCGCTTTGTCATCTTCCGCTCCAACTCCTTTAGTTCCTTTTCTTGCTTTTTCAAGAGCTTCCCAAAAGTTTTCATCTGCTGTATCTCTTCAATGGTGGCTGTCTGTGGCTCTGAAACACAGTATGAAAAAGACACCCATCAGTTGAAATAAGATGCTAGGTTGCCATTTTCTTGAAGAGTTCTTTTCCACAACTAATTTACTATGCCTATTTTCTCTCAAGATTACCTTGTGTTGCATGAATATATTCTGTCTTTTTCGGCACCTCAAACATAAGAAAGAAAAAAAAACCAATACAGATCCCACTAAAGAATTCTTCAGAGCAATGATCCCCAACCTTCCTGGTACCAGGGAGCAGATTCAGAAGAAAAATGGTCTTCCATGAACCAGTAGGAAGAATGGTTTCAAGCACAACCTAGATCCCATGCATGTGCAAATGAAGCTTTGCTCACTTGTCTGCCGTTTGCGTGGTGCAGTTCTTAATGGCCCAGGGGTTGGGGACCCCTGCTCTAGAGTAAATCTGTAAAAATTTCAAAGCCACCTGATGAGTACTCTTCATAATACCAATGGGGATCCCTGATACTTTGCTTAATGGTTGATCCATTTAGCTGGGTTTTCCAGCTGGACATGGAGCTGGCTTAGTAGGAAGCTGGTTTAGTGGCATCCCTTCCTGCACTTATAAATTGGGTTCCGTTACTCCATTTTGAATTCTAGCCATTACCTGAATAAATGACTATTTTTTTTCTTAAGCCCTGCCGGTGCAGTGGTTAAAGTGCAGTACTGTATAGGCAAACTCTGCCCATACCTTGGAATGTCAGGGCTCAAGCCTTCCATCCTTCTAAGGCTGGTAAAATGAGGACCAGATTGTTGGAGGCAATGTGCAACTAAGGCTTCTACATTGAAAGCCAAGTTCTGCAAAGTGCTTTTTTCTGGATTTTTATCTTACTTGAAGTGAACTTTTCAAACTTTCTCAAAACAGTAATCATGCAAGAGAAATTTGTCCCAACTGGGTCCTTTCCACAATGTAGTGGGGCACCTATTTCCATAATTCCCAGGCAATAATAAGCATTGACAACTTCATCAACATGTACTCCAAGTAGATGTGAAACTTCTCTGTTGCTCAATATACTCAATATGCATAGGCAAGCACACATACCAGGACAGCGAGTAAAAATGTAGCTTAATGTTTATTTATTAAAGACTAGCAAACAACAAAAAGAGATAACTGGCAAAACGTGACAAAAAGGAGGTAAAAGCAGGAGAGAGGCATGAATAGGCAAGAATTTACAACAATACCCTTCCAAACAGTCCAGTCCAGAAATCAGAAACATTACAGTGAGTAATTAGCATGAGCGGTCCCAAAGAGAGTGACCTTCGGTTATTCCAGCCTTAATTGCTTTATGTTCATAATGGCAACAGAATAGAGATGAAAAACAGGACACCTGATGCTCCATCCTCTATTCTACACTATGAAGGAAACAACTTGGTGGATGAGGATAATGTATCTTCTCCTTTTTTTAAAAATATAACTTTTACTTCCACTTTCAGGGGACGTATGAAGACAGCTAATGACTGCAACAAAGACCAAGAAACCGGGGAGTAGACCGTTTCCGTGAAACTTGTCTGGATAAGGAGAGGATGGGAGATTGACCATGTCTGCTCTGGACAGCTGCTCCTTAGGAGAAGACCGCAGGAGGGATATGGATCTAAAGAGCTGGTGGCTGAGCAAACAGTCCTAAGAACCATATCTACTTCCTCAGGTCCAACAGGTTCAAACTGTTCCCAGATAAAAGGCTAAGACTATGCATCTCCACCAAACTGCAATAAAGCCAGTGTCCAATTGAGAATGAATCCAAACATCAGATCCTAGTAATTCAATAGATCCTAGTAATTTCTCTGCATGCCCCTGCAAGACGTTCTCCAAACTACCCTTATCCAAGAGGTTTATGTCACTTGAAAAAGGTGTGACTATCTGTAAATGTAATAAGAGCAGAGACATAATGCTTCACTGCCTTACTGTTACTAGGTAGACCTTTATAATGGGTCTGACTCATGTTCAGTCCAGTTTATCCCTTGGGGAATGCCAGCAGTGGTCGGAATTTGTCTTTTCTCACTTCATCCTCCCTCAACTCTTCCAAAAACCACAGGGAGTGCTAAGATCTCCAGAGTAGAGATGTTTCATGGGTAAGATCTGATCTAAAGCTTCAACCATCCTAGTGGTTATTAGCAGTTCAAATGCACTGTGCAATAAGTCAGCAGAAACAACACCAAACTCCCTCTGGAATCTGGGCCCGTTAGTCATTACATTTTCTAGCCAAACTATGCCAGCAAAACTGGAAAAGGACAGAGTGTCCAGCAGATTGCAATAATTTCAATTACATACCAAACCAAAGAAAGAAGACTTAAAAGAATGTGCAAACTATCATCTAACATTCTTTAATTTCATATGCTAACAAAACAATGACTCAAGGCCGATTAGAGCTCTGCATGGAAAGGGAGATTTGCTAGCTGTTAAAATTGGCTTTATGAAAGAATGAGGAATATCATTGTTGGTGCATACTGGATAATTGCATTTTGCTGATGACATTGGTCTAAGAGCTGAAAATGCAAATGATCTGGAATTCTAGTAGTAAAAGTCAAAGACCATAGTGAAAAAAAGAGAGACTAAGATAAAATATAAAGAAGACCAAACTAATGACAACAGGTACAAAGTAGCTTCTGCCTTTCAAGAGTGAATGTTAAGTAAAAGAACCAGCAGCGAGAAATATGCCACAGATTAGCATTTGGAGTACAGTAGCAATGCCAGCCTTGGAAAAGACATTTAGATTCACTTGAGTCACAAATGATAAGGCTCAAATCACCCTACATGTGAAATCCCAGCTCTCTAAGAAGTCTACAATACTGGGAAAAGCAAAAGGAAAGAGAAAAAGAACAACCAGGATAAGGTAAATAGCCTCTGAAGTATTGATAGGTAAACTGTTAAAATCCTAAATAACCAGTTTGGGAACATATATCTTCCACATCATATATTCTCTAAAAACCCTAAATGGCCTAGATAAAACAAAAAGTTTCAAGTCTCTTCTTACTATAATAAGAAGAGGGTTTCTTAATCCCTATTGCAATTCCCTTCCCCACAATGAAGTCTCAGGCCTGAATAAATCTGTGGGGTGGACTTTGAAAGGTATTGTGCTAAACCCCACCAGTATGTTTCATATTCTGGCTGAACCATCACTCATTTGTAATAATGATAGATCTGTGGAATCTGTTTACATGTGACGTTGTGTCAGATTGCGAAAAAGAGATGGCTTTCTTACCTGTAATTAATTTTGCAGTTTCTTTCATGGTCCCGTCCTTCAGTGTAATCAAGGTTCCTGGAGAATGAAAACAACATTACAGTAGACTAAAACTTTATTCCTTTATAAAAGATTTTGACTGTGGTCAGAATGATCAGTTTGGTCCCAGTGATGTGGGTTGATCCTACTTCTTGTCCCATGGAGCTACACCATCTCCTTTCAATATGTGAATATGTCTTCCATTCTCAGCTCCTATCATTTCCATAGCATTACCTGCAGGGCCATTTGAAGGAGTGCAATAGCTTCCCAGGATGTTTGGTATCCCATTGATTGAAAGTTTCTTTTCCAATATGGATTTCTAAAAAAAAAAAAGTTCAGAAAATTGATGTCAGTGCAAAAATAGATCTGCAGAAACAATTGGCTACTTCCTACCCAATCCTATATTGTTGGGTTTTTTTATTCTTGTTTGGCACTTTAATGTTCCTGCATGAAAACAGCAAGAAAGATGAAGTATCATAAAGTGCACTTATAAAATATGTAACAAGTGGAGATATTCCATCATTATTCTTCAGGGTAGCACATGTGAATGTCCTCCCAGTGAATCCAAATTTCTCAAACTGAAAAATGTTATTTCCTTTTTCCATTCACTTGACTTCTTTTAACCGAAGACCTCAGGTTGTTTGGTTCTCTGACAGCCCCAAATAGTCTATGACTTCCTCAATAGGCATACATTGCTATGTTTTTCACATTGACCGCTCCAAATAAATTGCTCAGCAGCACCCAGCAGCTGTGATAACTCAGAAAGTAAGATGAAAATGTGCCTTCTAACTATTGTCTTATTCTTAGCTTCAAGAAAATTCCTTTTACAGCTTCTTGATAATTAAAAGTGAAATCTGATGAAGACTTGATGAGACTGGCTGGATTGTTCTATGTCATTCTTGGACTGGAGCTGACACTGGTGTGAAATGGGAATTTGGATAAGAAAGAATTTAATTCTGTTTTTCAAAATACCTTGCAGCTAGATTTGCAGCTGAAATGGGCTGAAAGTGGGTGCTATCGACAGCTGTATAAAGCAAATCATGGTTTTAACATGGGTTAAACCAAGTCACCATGTTAATCCATAATATAATTTGTTTCAGCTATATGATAAAGCATAATGTAGCATTTTGGTTATGTTATGTGAATGTAGCAACTATGATATATTAATCAGGTTTAAAATTCCTTGTGAATATATCTAAAAATGCTTCAGAGGTTAAATAGAAGAGATTGTTAGTTCGTTTTCATCTATTTTAGAATTCCAATGCACTGCCCTACATTCCTTGAATCCTTTGCTAAATCCCCTTCCTTACCCTCCATATGACAGTACAATGCAGACCTGAAAACAGTCTTTTTCAATCTCAGCAACTTTAAGCTGTGTGGAATTCATCTCCCAGAATTCCTCATCTAAATCTTTAGGATTTCAGCTCCATTCTTGCAATCTGGCAAAGGGATTTCCCTCCCCTCTATGCATGAAGGAAAAACTCAAGAACAGAGCTGCAATCTTCAGGATTCAAGGGTTTCAACTTTGTTCCTCCAGCAGCAGCCTCGTGAAGGATTTCAGCTTACCTTCATATCCTCTGCTTACAACCTTCCCTGCTGCTCTCCCCACTGACCTTCTGGGAAAGCCAGCAGAGAATATTGCAAATGACAATCACGTGATCAATAAACTGCAGACACGCAGATTATAATTATGTGACTACAGGTTGTTGTTGTTGCAATGTTTAGTAATAGTTGGAAGTGCTTTACTGGTCATAAATCACTCTTTCTGAAGCCATTATTAATTAAGTCCCATCGTGCCTACCGTCCCTGTCCTATTGTTTCTCTTATTCTTTTATTTTTCTTATATGTACCCATTTCATGTATTCACAACTATGTATACACTTATACTTATTATCTTGTAAACAATTGGCAAATCAAATAAATAAATAAAATAAATAAATAAACAAGGACTATCTATAAACTATTTGCTAAGCCCGTTTTTAAAGATGTTTCTTGTCTTTCAGAGAACTCTGTTAACATTCAGACTGTATGGATAACATTCTGGATCCTGATAGAAGTATTTTAGAAGTATTAATTTTATGATTCTAAAACAACATTTGTCCTTTGGCCCATTTTATTAAAAGCCTCTTTAAAATAATTGATCTCTGTTTTTCTTTGGTTGCTATTAAGTGGCATGTCAGAGTCTGAGATGGAATATGCTGACTTAACTTCTATCACTAGCATCTTGATTTGAGCTATAATACAAAAACAGATATTTTACACAAACAAAATATTATTTGGAGAACTCACCTCATTATTAGCATCTGCATTCTTCATCTTTTTATCATGTGCAGTAAAAAACTTTATTGGATTGGATAAAGCCATGGTGAGATCTATTTTTAAAAATAAAATAAAATGTACAATACCATCTCATTATCTCCTACTGATTGATTGCTACTTCCTTTACTAAGAGCATAGTAATATTTGCCTTTTCTAATATGCTTTTTGTTATTCTAAATCAAGTAATGAAAATAATTCAAGACATAAAACTTGCAATAATAGATTGTTAAGCTACTGCATTTTGCCTGCACTGGGATAAAAATGAAATAGGCTTGCATTCAGTTCAAAGATATATCATTTATATAAGCAACAAAATGATTTTTTTCTTGCAAAACATTGAAGTATTTTTAGAACAATGCTGAGTGACCTACATCCTCATTTACAATTTTTCTTAAGAAGGACTTATATATCCTCCTTCAGCTAGGAAAAGAAGCAAAAAAAGACTTTTTAATCTTCCCCATCTTTGTCCTGTTTGGCTGATCTTGTCTAGGATCAGAAACCAAATAAGAAAAATAGCTGAAAAAAAGAAAAATAAGAACAGGTTTGGTTGTGTTTGGATAGGAAACCTTTGAAGAACATTATAAATAATCTTTAGAGTAAGGCAATGGCTAATCACTTGTGGCAAGAAAGCTGCATGGATGTATCCAGGAGCAAAGATCAATCTGAAGGAGGCATTACCTTACCTACTCTTGTCCTGGGAGACTGATAAATAGCTGAAAAAAAAGATAAACGCACCCTGTGGTTGCTACAAGTATGGCAATATATGCCAGTTCTTATTGACAGTACTTCCATAATTAGACCAGTCTAGGAAATCAATGCCATGTAGGTCTAAAATTACTTTTTTTGGAACAGCTATAGTAAAGAATATTGCAAGTCTGAGAATGCTCTCATCCTACCTTATTTTCTCATTGTGTGAATGAGAGTTCTCAATTTAGTGCTTTTTTTTGAACCAGACTTAAGTTGTGTTTCTCTGTTTATTGCCTTTGTAACAGCTCTTCCTCCTGTCCTTCAAGGCTTTAATCTTCTACACTTATTATCTTTTGATAACAGTTATTATAAGATTGACATCTTTACTGAAGGCTGCCTTAAGACACTCATATCTACCTAAAAAAACACCTCATCCAATGCCTCATTCAAGTTATTTCACAATTTTAACTAACAGAATCTTTTCAACATCCTTCAAACAGAAGGTATTGGAAATAATTTTAATTGGCCAATATACAACAGGACTTAGCTTAAAAATCTAGAAGCAAATCAAGACTAATTGCAATAAAGAGTGAAAGCCACCTTTCATTCTTTTTTAAAAGTATAGGTGTCTTGCTTTTTCATCTTCAGAATACTGTACCTGCCCATGAATCAGGAACGTAATCTTTCATCTCCACATAGACAAATAGAGAGGGCATTGTAAGAGGCCGATTGCTCTCACTACGAAGGCAGACATGATGGTAGCCTAAAAAAGAAAGTGGATTAATCCAGTAGGAAAATATGTAATGGTGGCAATTTGGATGACAGAGTAAGAAATGCAATGAGCTTGCCCAGAAAAACAGCATCATTGTAGGGTCTTCAATATTATATTATTTCTGCTTTTGTAAACTGTGTACCAGTTTCATATCAAAGTTCACAAAAGTCAGTCATGATAAAATACCTAAACTCTGGTGAACAGGATAACAAGAAAATGAAAGGAGTCTTTCAGCATTTCTTCACAATACATGCACATATATATACATACACACATACACACACACAACATACATATACATATACATATACATATACATATACATATACATATACATATACATATGTGTGTGTGTGTGTGTGTATCTTTGGTTATTCAGGTTTTCTCCCGCGTAAGATTGGAAGTATCTAGGCAACGTTTCGATGAAGTCTCATTCATCATCTTCAGGCTTCTGTCTTCAGCTCTGTGCTTCTCAGAGTGATGTGAACTTGCAGCTGCTTCTTCCTTTTAACTGCTAGTGGGGGTGTGACTTGATTGGGTGGGGGCTTGGCTGTGTTCTGATTGGTTGGGGGGTTGGCCATGTTCTGATTGGCTGGAGGTGTGTTCTGTTCAGGTGGGGGCTTGGTTGTGCTCAGGTTGGTCTTAGTTACTGGGGGATTTGAGCTGTGATCTTGCTGTTTGGCTTCGAGTTCGTGGTCGTGCTGCATCTTCATGGTGGGGGGTCAGTTCGCTTCATGTATGGCTCAGAGGGGTTTGAAGTGGGTAGTGATGCAGCTGCAGTGCGGCTTCTGGTCTGTGGTCGTGTCTCATCTTCTGTGTGGGTGTGAGTCTGCTTTTTACGTGGAAGTGTGGTGGTGGCATCTTGTGTGGCCCTCGTGGGTGTGGGTCTGGTGTCATTCATCATGTTAGGTACTCATTTGTTCATGAGGGCGGGTTTCCAAATGGCTGGTAAGCGGGAGGTGTCA